CAAGTTACAGCACAAGACCTTTTTAGAAGTCTTTTGGAGGAGTAAGTACAATATTTTATTATGTTTCATACCTATTAAGTAGTAAATTTAGATTATTATTATTATTATTTAGTACTGTAGTATTATTTTTTGTTTTATCGACATTGTATGTTTTGTATTGTGTTTATTATTATTATTATTATTACTATTATTATTATTATTATTATTATTATTATTATTATTATTATTATTGTTATTATCATCATTATTATTACTCTTTAAGGCAACCAAGTGGTAAACCAAAAATGGACAGACACAATTTTCGCCATCGAGATCGTGCTCCACTTCGAGGAAGGGACATTGAGTAATGCAATTTTGAAAGAAAAAGTGTAAATAACTTTTTTTTTTTAAATGTAAAAGTCGGAGCATTGTAAATAAAACTTTTAAAATAGTTTGTACTCATTTGTATAACCTATGTTGTATTGTATCATTATCATTGTAAAAATAATAGTTGCAATGTATATTATATCTTAATAAATATAAATTTATTAATTTTATATTTAAAATTAGCACACCATTTTTATACATATTTTTCTGCAAGTTATTGTTAATTAACAAGTTATTATCAATAAACTTTGAAATTGAAAATATAATGCTTTGTCTATTTTATTATCAGTCGATAATGATTTAATTATTATGATATTCTAATTATCAATTGATAATAGTGATTATAATGATGATGATGTGGATGATGATAATGTGGATGATAATGATTAAGAGGACGAAGAGATTTAAAAATATGACATTCTAGTTACCGAACATTAAATAAAATCAGTTTAAAATATTTTCACTCTATCTTACCTCACCCACTCCCCCCGTCAACACCGACTCCTTCCCCCTCCCTTAACTGCATTTTCCTCATTTAACCAATTATTAAATTTACCATTTTATAATGTCAGAGTATACTAGCCTTCAATTTTTACACTAACCTTTGGATTTCATACCTATACTTCGGTTTTTAATAATTGAATAGAAGATTTTGCGGTTTCAAGTATTTGGATATTTTTAAATAATAGTTTTCACTTTTTCTGGAGCAAGATTTTTATAAAATATATGTTATAAATCTAGAGATTAAATTTCATATACATACACTTCAATAAATTAATAATTAATGCATGTTTATAAACACTTTTGCAGATAATGCCCAATTTTAAAAGTGTTTATCTACATTCATAGTTATAAATACTCTGAAAAAAGGCATTATCTCCATTTTGGCCCCCTTAATAATAAAATTAATCAATGAAAAGTATGTGGAAAATTTTTTAATAATATATCTAAGAAAACCATAGGTTAAACAATTTGAAATCATTTATACGTTTCTTGGGAAAAACTCAAACGCGTTTTGCTCATTTACTCAAAACTAGGATTTTGTTACTTAAGCCTTTTCTCAGAGCAGGGCAGCACTGTCATAGAGGTTTATACTTCAATATTTGAACAAAAATGCAACGTTGCAAGAGCCACATAAATGTCTAAAGCGCCCTCAAACCATTTAATTATCAACCAATTTGAGAAAATAATACACATATACGACCTTACATTAGTTTTTGTAACTGTTCTTTCTCTTTTGTGTTAAATTACTCTGCCTCTCATACAGTGTGTAATCCTCAATGGCGATATGATTTTTGATCGTAATTAATTAATTAATTTTAATGTTGTCCACTTTATTTATCATTTGATGTATTTGATTAATTAATGGAATAAATGTTAATTGAATTGAATCGAATTGTTTTGGAAGCTGAATTCAACATTAGAAAGCATAGCCTACATGAAGTCATATTATAGTAACTCGATGCCTATCAAATAAGTAATAAAAATTCGCCATAATTCATCAAATATTCGTGGCTTCCAGGGGGCGAAGCCCCTGGACCCCCCTCCCTCCGGGGCCCTAGGCGGCCCTCTGGGCCCCAGTCGGGGCCTTTAGCCCCTCCGTCGGGCAGGTCCTGGCGCCACCACTGTTGACGCCACGTGGGCTGCGTATCAAGGAGATACCTCTCACCTTTATCATGCCGATTATCGTTTTGCATCATTTGATGTAGAATCACTTTTTACTAATGTTCCATTAAATAAGGTAATTAATATTGTGCTGGACAAAGTACCGTATATAATCAAAAACTGATAACCACCAATCTTACGAAAACCACTCTACGTAAATTACTTTAAGGATACATGCACCAAAACGATATTTTCTTGTAATAATGAGTACTATAAGCAATGTGATGGAGTATCAATGGGCTCTCCTCTTGTCCTGTACTATCTAATACCGAACTAGAACAGACCATTATTCCTAATTTAGAACCTTTGGGAATTATTAAGTTTTATACACGGTTTGTTGATGATACTTTATTTCTTGCTAAGCCCTCTGATTTTGATCTCATTCTCCGATCCCTTAATTCGTTTCATTCACAACTTTAGTTTACTCTTGAATCATTTGAAAATAGTGATTCATACATTTTCTTGACTTGAAGTTTGACAATGCTACACACAATATTGGGATCTACCGTAAGAGTACGTACACGGGCCAATATGTTCATTTCAATAGCTTACCCCTTGGAACCACAAAATATCATGGATACGCAGTTTGTACACACGGGCTCACAAAATATGTACTCCCGGTGTTTCATTACAAAATGTCATGTCTTGGACTGTCTACCCGTTAATAGTTATAAATCGACTCTTTGGTAAATTATCTTATAGGCTTGGTAATAATGTACAGAATGTTAATGATGACTTGGTTAAAATTTGGGTACATTTGCCATATCTTGGTAAACACGGTGAATCAATTCTACATAGGTGTCTAAAGAAAATCAAAAGAAATCTTGATAAAAATGTAAAGTTTATAACATTATGGAAGTATAAGAAAGTTAGTTATTTTATTTCAACCAAAGATCATACCCCTAAAGAATACCGAAGTTCAGTTGTATACCACTTTAAATGTCCTGGTTGCAGTAGTGAGTACATAGGCGTGATCTTTGACCATGTTAAATCTTGTGATGCATTTAATTACATACTTGACTTACACAATTTACCAGATATCGATGATGATTATAAACCATGTAATTCGTTAGGGTTGATTTTTCATAGCACTAGGATTATTGACAGTTCTAATAACTGGTCACATTTATTGTTTAAGAGGCTTTCGCTATTAGACGTTTCAACCCATTACTTAACAATGGACTGAAAGCATCCAAAGAACTATCATTGAAAGTATAATACATACTCCAAGTATTGAAATACATTAATTTTGTCACCATCTGATTTTGACATAATTAATGTCGAAATATTGAATCCCAACACGATGGCGTGTATCTCAATACTTGGAGTATGTATTATACTTTCAGGTCCATGAGTAGACCTTTCGGTTTTTGGAGAACTATCATTGTTTACCTAGTTATTTCATCACATCATTAAGCTTACTTATTGATACTTTATTGATACTTTATACTTAATCACCAACACCTAATTCTGAATCTTATTGGCTACATTATTGTCTGTTTCTCATTGGTTAATTTTCTGTAACACCTCTGGAATATATGTTTGTAATGTTGGAATCTTTATTCATTCCTGATGATGATCTAATAAAAGATCAAAATATTGAAACAAAATGACTAGTCTTACTTTATTTGGAGTATGTTTTATACTAAGTTATCAGTGGACCTACTGGTTTTTGTATAAATACAATCATGGTAATTTTTAGCATTAACCATGGGGATTTGTTGTTTTGTGTATTTTAACATACCGGTACTGTAGGCTAATGTATACTGTACAGCTGTACCCTTACTTCTACTTAAGTCATTACTCTATTCATGCTATTCTATCTTGTACACCGAATAGAAAGCTCAATATTTGAAAAAACAGAATATCAGACCATCAATATAACACCCATATAAAAATACATATCAGTTGATTTCTTATTATAAATTATTTACTTTTGCATTGCAAATTATTGTTATAAATTAGTTATAATTCAATTTTATA